ATTATATTTCCAAAAAAATCCATTCAGCCGCACTCAGACTACCTTGTTTGAACTCATTGTGATGTTTGAGAGATCCTTTTTCTCAATTATTTTGTTATTCAAATACTCAGAAAAAACTCACCGCTAAGAAAGCATCAAGAGTGTTGCCTCCATTCATCGATGCAGCTGCGACAAGCGTTAACCCTTTAGCAAATGGGAATACATGGGTCGTCACGGGTAATTTAGGAAGTTCAGCATCATCAGGAAGCACAAAACACAATTGAGCAGATGTGCCAAGTATCAGATCTAAGAAAAATTGGCTGTAATTTGCAAGCGTAAAAAATTCTAAAGCATCTTGGTAAGTTGACGGTTAATATTGTGTTCTTGCGTTGCAGACAACAAATGCGCGTAAACAATTACAATGTGAGCTCTATGGCCAGTTTTAACCGCAAGTCGCAGGCAAAAGAGTATCTACAACCACAGCATACATTTCCGCGTAAATGTTATCGCAGTTACACTATATTGACAGTGCACCGCAGTTACACTATATTGACAGTCAAATTTACCAAACTGTATACGGTAGCTCACATGCATGATCAGATCCACTGTAATGTCCCCGAACAGACATGATACATCCAGTAAGATCTGCATATGCCACACTGACTGGGATATTCTCAAGGCCCTCTAAACGGCAGTCTCCGAGTTTCACAAAAGTTCCTGCATCTGTGCGCACAATTTTTGGGAGTTCAATCCAATCCGGAGTATATGGGAGCTGAAAAGGTACTTATCAGTTCGAATCATTGACTCGTTGTATGTTTTTTATTCGAAAAACAGCAGTTTTCCAAAACATTTTTTTGAACAGAACTGCAGCTCAGAACTCAGCTTAAGATATTTCTCGCTAATTCACAGTGGCAATAAGTAAATTTCTAAGGGAAAAAGCGAACTTTTTGAATGAGGTCGCGTCAATCATACCTTCCAGAATTTTTCGGGGCTTCTCAAATTTTCTTGGCTTATAATTTGATAGTTTTCAAAGAAGAAGGCGTGGCCACCACCATGTCCCAAAAAACTAGGTTGGATTTTTGGCTCATTTTGACTATAATATTCAAGGCTACTTTTGAACCAACATCGCCAGACGCTGAATTTTATTTAGCGGTAAAAATCGGCGTTGCTCAACCCACAGTCATGATTTCTTAAATGACAGGGTCCAAGACTAGTTTTCAAAGAAATCAAAAAATCCAGCTTTCGTTATTGATGTGGCTACACACGGGTTTATGCAAAGAAACATTTAGATTACCCCTGCCCTTTCTTCCACTCCTATTGCATATCCAGCAAAAAATCGGCAAAGGCACAACTTCGAATGCTTAGAAGGCAGTGTCTCGGCGGAATCTCGTTTTCCGGTTTTTCACCTTTTCGGATCCTTCTCGCAATGAGGTTCCATATCTGGGCTTTTCAGCGTATGAAAATGGCGAAAATGAGCTTTTTCCAAGGCTTTTCAAGTTCGCATTCAGTGAAGATACGCCGGTGGTCTTTCGCGCCCCGCCTCTCTCGTTTCGGACTCCGCCCACTTACACGTACTCTGCACCAAATGCGGATCTGGAAAGCTTCGGAAAAAGCTCGTTTTCGCCATTCTTATGCGCTGAAAAGCCCAGATAGGGATTAGCGATAAGACTCCGGAAAGATAAAAAACTGGGAAACGATATTCTGCCAAGACACCGCCTCTAACCTATTCAGTAGATTATGTTTGAACCTCATCTACAAATATTTTGCAACGTATCACTCACTATTTCTCTATTCCATTCCAAATCAGTTGAATATCCCCAACAATATGCATTGTGATTACTCATTAATACTTCGTCACTTCCAGTCAAGTAACAGGCGAAATAATCCATGATGTTACCACAACGATCCCAATGTCTTTCGGGATCAAAAGATGAATGAGATGCCAGCTCGCAAAGGGTGCGCATGCCATATCCAGGAAAAACGTGGTTACTCGTGGACCTGGAATTTCTTGGTGGGAGAGGGTTCAATTGAATTTCTTCACTTACTTAGGCAGCTCGGGAGCGGTGGGATCACCAGGATACATCCAGTTGTACAATTCAGAGCAATCAAGTTCACCTAAACAATGGAATAAGAGAAGAACGAAGGGGTGAAGGCTTTTCTCAGGATTTACAGGCAAAAAGAAAGGCAATTGGAGTACTTTTTAGTCAAAGAAAATTGAATAATTAGCATAATTTCAGAAAACTGCTCAAATTCAACTCGAGATCTTCCGTGGAAGAGTAATGAAATTTCAAAAAATAAACTCTCACATGGCTGGGGAAGGCAACTGAAAAATCTCCTATTGAAAGAAAATTTTTACAAAAAAAAAAT